TATGGTTGTGTTGAATTTCATTTTCGTTGTGTTGGATGCAGAATTTTGCGCTGAATCGAATGGCGTAATTTTTAAAGGTGGTTGCCGATCAAAATCTGGCACTTTACCTGGAAATACTGCTTTTTCTGAAAATCTTGTAGAAGTAATTCCAGCCCGGATTCGCTGCTTTAGCTGTGTTGAATCTGAAAATGGTTGTGTTGAATTCAGAATGAAATTCTGCATCGAATAATGTTAAATTTGTATGGGGTCATCGACCAAAATTCTTCGACTTGGATGGGGCTGGAATATAGATTTAGAGGTATGACTTGGGTGAGACCAGAAATTTTTCGATCGATAACCCCATACAAGTTTAGCATCATTCGATGCAGAATTTCATTCTGAATTCAACATAACCATTTTCAGATTCAACACAGCTAAAGCAGCGAATCCGGGCTGAAATTACTTTTACAAGATTTTCAGAAAAAGCAGTATTTCCAGGTAAAGTGCCAGATTTTGATCGGTAACCCCCTTATAAAATTACACCATTCGATTCAGCACAAAATTCTGCATCCAACACAACCATATAGGCGAATCCGGGCTGGAAAAACTCGAATATTGTGCTAACTTCCCTAACGTCATGAAAATAGATAAAGCTATACTAATACATTGAGACGACAAAATGAATGATATTATGTGAATTCCCAGAATATTACTGATGTGAACAGTAAAATGAAAATCGACGATTTTGTTTTGTAAAATCAAGATTAATCGTCAAAAGTGTGCCGATTTCGAGGGCATGAGATCGAGTGCATTGATAAAAAAGAAACTAATCGATATTAGCGTTCATTTTGTTAAATTTCGACGTGAATGATTCGGTTCTACATACTATTATAAGTATGAATAGGGAAATTAATTTTAATGAATATTTTTCATTCGTACAAAATGAACATGAATTAATCAAATGTACTCAACATACGGAAAAATTCAACTCTATGAATAACCTTGTTCTACCTGATTCAATATTGAATATGTATTAATGTACAACTTTATATCCTTTTTATGATTTATTTTGTTTTCAATTTTGAACTTATGAACTACTAAGTGTAACAATTTTTGATAGAAAACGAACAATAATATATATATAATAATAATGCTTTATTTAATAAATGAAGTGTATGGGAGATCCTCACGCTTGTTTGCCATGGACAACCTCGTCCCTGTGACAGAAAAAAATAAAACCATATATATTTTACTCGTACAATAGCATGACACAGATGGATTTGAGTTGAACCACAACAGGCAAAAACTACAGTAAAAAAAGTGATTTATGTTGATTTGCACGGTAACGTGAAAGTGAGATTTTAGAGCACAAAAAAAAAGAACCAAATAACAAATACCTAAAGATGATTCTTGATCAAACCCGTACAAGAGTAAAAAGAGAGAAGATGGAGATAGATTTTAGTAATAAAATGATGACAATGTTGGGGTTAGAAGCAGAACACATAATCGAAAAAAGAACTTTTTTGAACATTGAACAAATTTAAAATCTTTTTACTTGTTCGTCCTTTATGAACGATTGATCTTTTTTCTTTCAATAGTATAGGATTATTATAGTACTCATAAATGTATAGCAAGTACATTTTGTGTTGAATATATTCACATAGCACTGCTGGATTTTTTCTGAGAATAGTCAGAAGAATTTTATTCCAGTGTACTTGTGTAAGCTTATTCATAGATTTATATCTAGGAAGATTCGAAATTTCATCATTCGTTGCATCATACCAATGATGAATTGTTCTAAACATTTTCCTATTTATGGCCTCCAAATGATTTTGTTTTGTTCTTGATATAATTGGATAAATGTTTAAGATCGATTGATAATAAGGTCTTATATATGCATTAAACAATCGATATGCCGTATCTTCAGTTAATGGTTTACCTGATGAAAGATATTTGAGTACTGAGGAATTTTTTCGAATTTTTGTTTCCACATAGCTAAGGTGAGAAGCGAAAGAAAGTTTACAATCGAGAATAGTACCAAGATATTTAATTTTTTTGGATGAAGTGATTCTATGTCCATCACAATCAATATAAGGCGTTATGATAGGGGCAATTTGCCGATGGAATAGCATCCAAAACGTTTTTTGGAAATTTATTGGTTGTTTCCACATTGAAGAGTAAGACATTAGTGAGATGACCACATGCTTAATTTGCTTAATCAGATTAGGTATAAGTGATTTTGAGGACCAATTGGCAGAATAGCATATCAATATAGCAAGATCATCAGCGAATAAGTGTTTCCAATGTAACATGGATATACTGTTCAAAATGTCATAATGAAATACTATAAAGATGACTGGTCCTATGTATGATCCTTGAGGTACTCCTTTATGCAGGCAAAATGTACTGGACGTTGTGCCATTCATGTCTATATATGCTGATCTTTCACATAGATAGTTTCGCAACCACGCTATTAGATATATAGGACAATTTAATCGATGTAGCTTCAAGACTAAACCACTGAACCACAGCTGGTTAAAAGCTGATTTAAAGTCGACAAAAATACCAGCTGTGACTGTATTTACCGATAAGCTTTGCCCAATTTGATCTACTATTGACACCAAACTGACCGCCATGTTGTGTCCTGGGCGAAAGCCAGATTGTTCATCTGGAAGAATACCATTGTCATTTACCCATTGATAGAAATATCTACGAAAAACTTTTTCATATAACTTTGAGAAACAAGGTAAAAGTGAAGTGGGGCGTGTATCGTTTATGTTGATGATATTTGTTTTAGTTTTTGATAGAAGGATCATTTTAGCAGCTTTCCAATGAGATGGCAGCAATAAAATGAGTCCAATTATTAAAGTGAAACATTGTGCTGTTTTCTGCAAAAGAAGTTTTATCTCATTGATTTTCTCAATTCAATCCTCTATTTTAGGAGGCAGATAATGTACCAAAGTGACGTACCACGTTCTAAAGAAGAGAAATTTACCCCAAACGCACTGTATTTGAACTTTCAAAAGCCTCATTTGAAAAATAAGAAATGCGAGCCTAGGCGTGATTTTTTCAGCATTAAACATCAATTAGTAAATTTACGATAGCAACAGGAATGTCATGAATTCAAAATCTTTCATACTATGAATAAATTTGCCTCAGTGATGGACAAAATACTCCGACAAATCCCGGAAGCATAAAAGCGAATAATATTTATGTTTCATTTTTTTTCTTGAAGGTAAGATAAAAAAATAACTTGCTTAAAAGTTGGGGTGTGGGTGCGGGTGCGGGTGTTGTACATCTAACCATCCACACCCACATATCCCAAGTACTTTGAACTATCCGCTGTTGTACTGGAGTAATTCGTTTGTGATTCCGTCTTGTGTTGATGTTATTTTCGTGCCATCAGATAGTTTATAGAAAGGCAGCGAACGCGATTTGTAAATGCGAGATAAGTGTGTCAAAAAAGCTTTATCTGATTTTTTTTATACAACGTTTGAATGTTAGAAAAAATTTTGCCATTGAGCATTTTTATGTTTTGCTATATCAACTCTTGATTCTCTCGCCACCATGCATAAAAGCATCATAGTTTCCTCATTAAAAACTCATTTATGTTTTAAATGATAATATCTATTTTTCACTTTTCGTATTTCTTTTAATTTCTCGATAAGTCGGTGTAATGATAGTTTATATTTATATCTCTCCTTCCAATGAACCACTCAACTTTTGACAGCCGCGATGAAGCGAATAATAATAATTCTATTTCTGTTCTTATTATGATATATATTTAACTAATTAAAATGATATTATTTATCTTTGATTTGTTGCTAATCATTAAAACAAAAGACATGACATTCTTCTCATATTCTATTCTTCTCTCATCAAGACAGTGCTAGATATGGCACAGCGACATCTAATAGATAGATCGTTAATGATCGTTAATGATTGGAATAATGCTTACTGTTTCGTCGACGCTTGTGAACAAAGGTGAACAAAGCAGCGCTAAAATATAAATACCAACTGTAATGAAGAACACGCGCATATCTTTAATACGAAACATTTTATTCTCTCTCTTACACTTCCTACTTTCTCTCATCATTTATTCTACACGAATTATTAGTATCAAATTATTTTTCTATGGGTACAATAAAAGTAAATATTTTCGATGGCCTAATTTCTATCTTATTTTTTAGATGAGTTTAGATCGAATTTTCAATTTCTCTCAAGTAAGTCTATACAATTGAAGAACGGTTTTCTCACAGAAAGGCACACGCTGCAGTCTTCTGTGTCAGTTTATGAATGTTGAATTTTCATTTTATTTTTCTAGTATGAACCAAGAGAAAGTTCGCGAGACGCCAACCAACAATTAAATCAATTACAAGGAAATGTAAATCAATTACAAGGACAAGTAAATCAATCACAACATCAGATTACTGAACTTCAACAATCAATGACTGCAATGCATGCCCTAATCTACCGACAGAACGATATTTTTGCTTTGTTGCAAAATGAAATACGTTTAATGCGACATGACTTTGCCAGAATGCAATTGCAATTCGGAATTTTACGAGGCGAACAGGAACATCATGACTTCGAAATCTTGGATATCATCGATATAGTTGCAACTTTGATGGACGAAGTGCTTCGGCAAATTCCCGAAGCATAAAAGCAAATGATGTTCATGCTTAAAAGTTGACTTGTTGTATTTATAATCATAATTATTTTATATCTGATCAATAATGATAATCAAAATTGCATCCTTATTCCTAATGAACATTGATGCATGAAAATCATCCTTGTGAATTTGAATGTCATTCTTGTGTCAAATGATTCCTCTTAGCTGTTTTTGTTGATGGTCTTACTTCAAAATTGATGCTATTGTAGATTTAATAACTCTCTTTTTTTGTTCTATTTGTTGCTGAGTATCTTATAAGAAGAAAAATAACTATTCATGATTACCATGATAACATTTTTCACACATAGTTTATGCTTATTTTGCTTGTAAATATGATCAAAATTTGTGACATATATATTTAAAAGTTTTTGTTATTAAAAAAGGACAACTTAGGTCGACCAAAATAAAGTGAATACATTAGTATCTCATAATCAACATGAAAATTGATTTCTTGAATAATGTTGACAATTTTATTTTAAGCAACTTACAATAACTCTAACTAGAATCTCGGCTAAGTTATTCTTCATCAATAAGTAATACCAATGTATTTTTATGATAGAAGCCTTTATGATTAGATAAATTTCTTTATATACGATAGAACACTGTTGTTTCATTATTCGAACAACATGATTTATTACTTTGTCCTGCTCCAAAAGGTAACTTATACGGTTTTCACATGTGATTTGTTTTATTCAGAGAACAGAGTGAAAAAATGTTGCCATATCTATGAATACTTCTGTTGTCCATCGATTATTGAAGAACATACAATAGTTTGGTTTTTATTTTTATAAAAGTATTTAACAATAAATGAAATTAGTTCATAGGGAATAAAATGTTCTGTATATGGATCGATAGTATCGATTTACAATAGATTTTTAAATAGAGAAAATGTTTATCTGAATCCGTATTGCATTAAGTAATATATTGAAACAATTGTCCATGGAATAGAAACAATAATTCCACCAGCTAATGTATAACTCGAGCTAAAATAAATAATTAAATTTATTTAATATGAAAACAAAAATCGTACTGTAAATTTGAATATGTAAATTGACAATTTTTAATAATTAGAAACCAATTAAAATACATTTCAGGTGTACAAATTGTTGTTAAACATAAATGCAATGTATACAAATATAAACAAAGATTTGTTAGAATATATTTTATCACTAAAACATTTATACTGGAATCAAATTCTTCAGTCTTTTTTCCAAAAGGTAAACTAAACATTTTGTTTGTTTTTGTTTTTATTTTCATAAAATAAAAATATATCTTACCAATTAATAAGTGATTTATTTGTTAATGAACTTAATTTTCTGTTATAATAAATAATTAAAATAATGAAAAATATCACAATAGCGGTTTCCCATGGAAGAATTTCAGCATACGATAGTGTAAATAGAAAATAATGAAACAAGATAAATATTATTGATGAATAATAATTTATTGAAAATTTTTTATCATCATTTTTATCTTTCAATAGTAAGTAAATATAAATTATCAATGATATTATTAGTAATATTACACTTTTTGATGATATGAAAATTAGGAAGAATTCAATTAATAAATAATTTATTAAGATATAAGTAAAAGAATTCTTTCCTGTCATTTATCTACAATTAATTTTTATAAACAACGAACAAAAACAAAAGAAGAAAATGTTTTCATATTTCAATCAATAGTAAATCAATTTTATTTTATTTTCAAAGCATAAATCAGTATACAACTAGAATTTTATTTGAAAAACAATTAACTAAGCAAAAAGTGACACAAACAAAAGAAAAACTCTTGAGAGATTCTGTTCTTTTTTTCGTTAACAATAGAAATTTATTCTACACAAATAAACTGTTCAATGATAATTGATTATATTTATTTATCTATCTATCTATCTATCTATTTAACTTTCAATATATATTTATACAGTAGTAAAAGAGTTTATACTGAAAATAATAATAAAAAAAGGATTTTTATTGTTCTTTAATTAATGGCTCAACAACTAATAAATCCATGCTTGATGTATTTTTATCTTTAAATGAAGAAGCAATAAATAAAGCAGCTTCTTTATGTAATAATTCTTTCATTGAATATCCATTTAAACCAATAATAACATGACCAACACGAAGACCACTTGATACATATGCACATCCATCAGGCTTAATTTAAGAAAAAATAAAATATTTAGAATCGTGTCGACAGAATCATAATCAAATACACGAAGAATTTACAAAAATCAGTTCATTATTTAAATAATTTAACTCAGTTTGTTACATTATGATCTTTGTTATTTTAACGTAGAGCTAAAAATTTTGTATAACCAAAAAAATTTTAAAATCATTCATAAGATTTGTTCTCGATAAATAAATAGTGAAAACATTTTTTAATTTCTATAAAAATGATCATATATAAATAGATTATGAATTACTGGAAAGCAGAAGATAACCATTAATGCATACATTTAAGTGGAATTATTTCGTGTTTTTCTTTTTTTAGTATTTATAATGAGTAAGAGAATTTGATAAAAGTGATATATTTGAAAAGGGGAAAATAATTTCTATTCGTGCTATTTTTCTAATAGAATATTAATCATAATTTATTATCGAAGAATTTCATAAGATTTATTAGTTAATTTAACACTATTAATATTAAAGATAAAAAAATCTTTTCAATGAATATGATAGATTTATCTATTAAGAATAGAATTAATATAATAATTCATCTTTAATTTAAAATGAAAACTTCGTACTAGAATATGTAAAAGTAAAATTGAATATAGACCTGCATGTAAACAATTCTTGGTAATGGAATTCTATCTTGAAAACCACCTTCAATAGCTACACCTAATGTTGGACGAACTTTATGAATTGTTATTGGATATGGTAATGAATAATCCTATTAAATCTTGCACTATTTTAAAATAAGCAAACAACTTTTATTTACTTTAAGAAAATCTTCAATTATATTTTGCTGTTCAATTGTTAAATTTGTTCGAGATTTATTTAATAAAATAAATTCTTCTTGTTTATTAACATTATGCAGACTTTTCGTTTTTCGTAATAAATTATTATTTTCATAAAAATTACCCATTGAAACATTTTTATTTTCAATTGAAAATTTTCTTTGAATTCTTGGTGAAAATTGATCAAATGATTGTTTTATTTGCTCTTCCAAAAACAATGATTTTGGACGAATTAAACGTTCATCATTTTCAATTGATAAGTTTTCAACAGATTTCGACTAACAAAAAAGAAAAATTTTAAAGAATTAAATTAAAACGAAAAAATTAAAACCATATTATAGATAGGTGAATGAAATGGCATTCGAGATGATGATAAAGAAGTTTGAATAAGACGTTCATGAGACAACTAAAATCATTAAAAAAAAACGAATTATTCATTGTTAGAAATATTATTGAATTTGCTTTTGTTTTAAATGAGTTAGTTGGTTTTGGTTTTCAGTGAAAAAGATTTTAAAAAGTTGTTTAGTTACACAATATAAAGCAATACGGGCAAAATAACACAAGAGAGCAATATGCACAAACACACACATATAATCGGATAATTCGTTATTTTACCTGTTTTAGATATATATATATATATATATATTTATTTAAATTTTATTACTAGAAGTGGAATATTATCTGTTTGCATTTATTTTTTAATCTATTTATAAAATATATATAACTAACCTTTAACGTAGTTAAATCATCTTTTATAATATAAATATCAAAACGGTCAAGATCATTTCGACGAACAAATCTTCTAATTGATTCAATTATTTCATTCTTGAAAAAGAACAAATAGTTATAAGAGATTTAATTAATAAAAGAATAAATCATTACTCGATACTGTTGATTTTGTTTAATTAGAATTTGTAATAAAGGTTTAATTAATTGATCAATATGAATTTTCTCTTGTAAATATTGACTAAGCAAATGTTTAACTTTAAGTTGATCCTCTGTATCAATAATTTGTTGAAAAAAATTAGTTTTTGAATTAATTAACGATGATGATGATGATGATGAAACATCAGATAGAGATTTGTTTTTACTAATTATTTTAGGAAATACCCGAGGACTTGTTCGAATTGATTTATTATTTATTCTTTTAATTTCATCTTTTGGTTTTGGTAATTTATTAATTTGTCTTAAATGAAATGACATTTTATCAATATTTCTTAACAATTGAACAGCATCGGAATGTGTTATATGAAGAAAATCAATTCCATTAACAGATAATATTTGATCACCAATAGAAAGACCAGCTTGGTCACTAAGAGAAGCTTTATCAACACCTGATATAAATATTCCAAGACCATACTCAGCACCACCACGAATAGTTAGGCCAAGACGTTTACCTTTTTCGACTGAAATTGTTACCTTAAATGAAAAGAAAACAGAAACTTCTTTTTGTTTCTTATTTAAAATTAAATAAGAAAGAAACAAACTGTTCTTTCACAATAAGGTAATTGAGCATCATTCGAAAGATAATTTCCCGGTGGTGGAGACGTTACACGTTGTTGAATTGGATCATACCAATCATATAATGTTGCATCAAGAGAATTTATACGAAGTGTTCGAATAATTATGTCAAGTTCATTCGAAGAATATAAAATCTTAATAAAAATTGTTTTTTTCAAAAGCTCATTTTGAAACTATTAATTAGATTTAATATTTTATTATTCAAATCATTAAATAAATAAAAAATTGATACTCGTAACTTTTAATCAAGAAAAAGAAAGAAGCTGTTTCTTTATTTTAAGTAAATATTTATTATACGAGAGAAGTTCCATAAATGATAAATCAATTTTCAATTGAAATCTAATGGAATTATATAGACTTTACTTCCTATATTATTACAGAAAATATGATGAATTTTTACAAGATCTCTTTTTTGCTAATTTTGAAAATATTTAGATTTTCATTTAAAACTTTACAAAAAGGCAAACATTATTTTAGTTAGTTCAAAGTTGAAATAAGAATAATGAATGAGCGTCTATTCATTTATATGAATGTGTCAAACAATTGCTTTTATCATGGATATTTTTGTGTACATGAATAATAGAAAAAAAAATTTTCATTCATATTATCTTTTTCATTTGAAAATTTCTCCATCCAAAGAAAGGTTTTCAAGAAAAAAGAAAATTAATGATTAAATTTCATTGATAAATAACGGAAATTTTTAAAAACAGAATGCACCAATGTTAATCAATCTAACAATATTCATAGATGTGCCTGTCGCAGTATCATCGAACTTTTTCTTTTATTAAATTAATAATAAATTCAACTAGTCAATTTAAACAACAAATATATATATATATATAAGTTGCTATTTATTAAAAAAAACAAAGAATCGGATTCCGTTTCAAAACCTTAGCAAAATATTCTTGAAAAACTTATCAATAAGTACATGAGTTGCAAATTGACTCTTATGAATGTAAAATAGTAACATGAAAATTTCTAATTCTGAATAGAGAAAAAGAAAATTAATAAAAATTGAAACAAACTTGTAGAGCTTTTGTATAATCAATGTTTTGTTGAAATGCGATTCCATTAACAGAAATAATTTGGTCTCCTGGTCTCATTCCTTGTAAATAAGCTTGTGAAGCCCAAACAACTGACGCAACTTGAATTGGCTGAAGATAATTTCCACCAGTTATTGTAAAATCCAATGTTCCATCATTCGATTTAATATGAATTCGTTTTGTTAAAAGACGACTCGGGCCAAAATAATATCTTTTATGAGAAGAAAATGAATCATCGTCTGCTTCTTCTTTCATTGACAATGATCGAGAAGAATACATTTTTATCTACAAATACGAAAAAGAATTATTTAAAAAGAGGAAAAAAAACACAATAATGTTGAAATATGATTGTATTAATTATGATTTAGTTTTTTTTTCTTCCTCTCATAAATTCCATCATAGCTTGAACGAATTCTTCTGTCAACCACCGTTGTTTTAAAGTTTCAACTTCATGAGTATTAACACGATGAAGAGTTTCTTTCGTCCATTTTTGTATTAACGATTTACTTGTTAAAAGACTTCCTTTAGGTAATGATAATATTTGTTGACAAATTTTATCTTTTTCTTCTAAAAAGAATTTTTCGTCAATTATTTTTGTTACTAAACCACGTTGTTGAGCTTCTTCGGCTGTTAATTTTCGATCAAATAGAAGAATATCTTTGGCATGAAGTGAACCCATTAATGATGGAAATATAAATGATGAACAACCTTCAGCTGATTGAGCTGTTCGTGTAAATGGCAATGAAAATGTTGCACCAGATGATGCATAAACACCATCAAATAATCCTAGTGTTGATACAGATATACCAACTGCTGGACCATTTATAAATCCTATGAGAATCTTGGGAAAATCAATATATTTTCCAACAAATTTTTCTAACATTGTTTGACCAAGTTCAACGGATTGTTTTAAATTTGATGTTGACGTCTATTTAAAAACCATAGGAATTCATCATCAAAATATTTATTTTATTTAAATATAAAGTGTACGTATTATCAAATTTGTTACTTTATTTATCAACCAGTAAATTTAAATAATCGAACTCTTTTTTAAATTGAATTTTTCTCAAGAACGAAGAAACATTAGTTTAGTTATCGGAACTTTATCATTCTGAAATGAAGAATTTAAACATGGTTTGCCATTGTTTCTTTAGACTAAAAGCATCAATTTGAAGTTTTGTTACAAATTTTATGGAATTAATCAATAAAAAATTGTTTGCATGAGATTGGTTGGAAGATATGAAAAATAAACATTGAAAACTAGTAAGTTTTACTATTGAAATTCAAATAACCATAAGGTTAAAAGATTGAATCTCCTCTAGAACCAATTCATGTTTACTTAGAGCTGCTTTTTTTAAAATTTCTATGATAACAATATTCAATTTTTAATTCAACTCGTTTTTTCGTCTCAACTGATCGATGAATATTCTCTATTGTATAGTTTCTACTAAAGATTTGTATCATAGAATAAAACCTGATCGAATTCTTCAAACAGAGTAAAGTTGAGAGTCTTGAATGAATTTAAAATACTGGATTAGATTCATTCAATAGGATTTAAAATTTGAATTTAACTCTATTGTTCAATTTCTTGATATAGAATATAAAATCAGTTAAGATTTTCTTAGAAATGGAACTTTTCTTTTTCATATTATTTAACTGTCGTTTCTAAGTTATTTACAAAACGAAAAAGAAAAGAGAAAGTAAAACTTACAGCCATTTTAGCGAAATCGGCTAAGTCTGTTCCAGCTGAATAAAATTTTCCTTTTCCGGTCATTGTAAGAAGAACTAATTCTTTATCTTGACCAGCTTGATCAAGAATTTCTATAATACGTTCATACATAGGTCTTGTTATAGCATTATATTTTTCTGGTCTATTAAGAACTATTTCCCAATGTAATGAGCTTTTTTTGATTAATTCAATATGTTCTGTTGTTGATTGATCTTTTACACTTTTTGTTTCTTCATTTTTCGATACTGCATTTGAATCAATTTTATCTATACAAAAATAATAAATAAACAATAAATAAGAATTTATGTTGAAAACTAAAAACCATTTGATGTTGAAGAAGAGATTAATTGTTCAATAACTTGAATATATTGTTTTTGTGCATCCTGTTGATTCATTTTTCCTAATGAAGACCAAGCTGTCCATTTAGCACGACCAATAAAATCAGTTAAGCCAGGTTTTGTTGTTGCACAAATTCCTTGTGTCGCTTGTTTATATAAACCATAAAGTTTTAATTTAGTTTCATTATCAACTTGAGTTGATGATGATTCTAAGCGAGATTTTGCTTTTTCAAAATCCGTTCCTAATGATACTTCGTTTGATGCATATCGAATAATAAAATTATTTAATTTTAATGAACGAAATAATGATAATGATGATTTCATATCTAAAAGAGATGTTGTTTTTATTTATTTATCAAAACAATATACAAAAAAAAAGAATTTTTTTCATCATTTTATATGAATAATCAAATAAATAACTTATCTAAAATATAACTAGTTAGATCTTGCAATAATTTTATCTTCTTTTCATTGTTGATTTATAATAGTTCGTTTGTTGAATAAATAAATGAATGAAATTAACAGAAAATAAAAGACAACCTTCAAAGCTCAAGGTCCAACTAAAACAAAAGAAGCAACGTATTGTATTGATACTGTTTTATTATCATATATAATAATTATTATTATATTGTATTTTTCTTTCATTGGATTTTAGTGTTACGAATGAAAAAAGTAAAAAACTACCATTCACACTAATGACATCTATCATTTCGATCAACTATCTGCCAGAGAGAACAAATCATGTTCAATTAATTATTACTACGTCGTACGTAAATAAAATAAAATATTTCTTCTTTTTTTAATCAGAATCAGTGAAAGATGAAAAATAAAAAATTTTCTTTTTACACTCAAAATATGGTTATTCTTAGTGAAAAAGGGAAATTCTTATTTTAGATTTTATTTTCGTGTTTTGCTTTTTTTTCATTTTCTGAGACAGTTCTCGATTAGTTTATTATTTATTTACATAGTAGTTTATGTAAACTAAACAGAATTTTGTTCGGTTAATTGTTTTGGAAAAGCGTCTTAAGAGAATGTTAAAGTGAATCAGTTAGAGAAAATGAAAATAAGGACAACAATGACATGTTTCTTAACAAAAAAAATAATATTATTTTAATCAAAATTTGATACAAATGGAATAGTATTTTTTTCGTTTCCTACATAATTCAAACAAACTCTGTTGGTGAATATTATTTAGTGGTTCAAGTTAATATTAAATAAAATGTTATCTGAAGCATTTGTAACATTGGTTACTAATGATGGATATGCACTTGGAGCACTTGTTCTTGCTCAATCTATTCGTCAAGTTGGAACCAAACGAAATTTAGTTGTTATGATATCAAAACATTTATCTAATTCATTAAGGTTATTATTTAAGAAAAAGAAAAAAGCTATTATTTTAAATTTTATTTCTATGCAGAAAAATATTAGAGATCAATTTTGATGAAGTTATTCTGGTTGATGAATTCGATTCAAATGATACTGAGCATTTAAGTTTATTATCACGTCCAGAACTTGGAATAACATTTACAAAAATCAATTGTTGGCTTTTAGAACAATATTCAAAATGTGTTTTTCTGGATTCTGATTGTGTTGTATTACGTCAAATCGATGATCTATTTGAAAGAGAAGAATTATCTGCTGTGCCGGATGCTGGTTGGCCTGATTGTTTCAATTCTGGACTTTTTGTTTATCGTCCATCAAAAGAAACATTTAGAAAATTGATCAAGTATGCCTCTGAAAAAGATGCTTCATTCGATGGTTTGTTCAATATCTTTTTTTTTCATCTGTTATCTTTTGTTTTTTGTGAAAAAATTTATACTCAATTTAAGGTGGTGATCAAGGTCTTTTAAATGAATTTTTTTCAAGTTGGGGCTCATCGGATATTTCTCGACATTTACCGTTTGTTTATAATGTAACATCAAATGCATTTTATTCATATCTACCAGCTGTTACAAGGTAGTATTTCAATTTATTTTCAAACAAGAAATTAAAATAAAATAACTGTCAAATAGATTTCGCAATGATATTCGTATTATTCATTTTGCTGGTACATTAAAACCATGGCATTTAACATATAATCCAAAAGATGAACAATTATCAGGAAATTTAAATGGACAAAATGATATTCAAAGAGAACTTCTTCTTTCATGGTGGAGAATAATGTATCAACGAGTTTGGCCACAATTATCAAAACTTAATCAGGTAGACTATTACTTGCTCATTTGTTTTTCTGTTTACTTGACTGCTTAATTGCATGATGTTTGTATCGAATCCGTTCAGAAAACAAACTCTAATAGCAAATAGAGATGATCCAATGTTACATCGTAAAATATTTATTTGTTTTTCGTTTTTAAATTTGTTTTCTTTATTTGAGATTCTTTCATTAAAAGGGAAAACATGCAGCCATATCAATAAATAGAAGGATTTTATTTAATAATTCTCACTTGTTTCAACACTTCAAAAACAAAATTAGAAATCAAATAGAAATATGATATTTTCAGCACATTTTATCCATCTTAAGATTTGTTCATTTTACAAAAACATTCAACTTTTGTATGTAAAAAAATATAAGTTCATTGAATTTTCTCCTGATAAAAACATATTTGCAAATTTGAATAAAGTGTTGAACTTTGTATTGTCTCCATGAAGAAAATCTATTTTTACAATGAATGAAAAAATTGCAAAATCATTTTTTTCTGGAGATTTCATTAGATTAAATGATGTTTCGAAAGACTTCAAAAAATTATTAAGCGTCTTGTTTATATTTGAAAGATTCTTTCATATTGATATAATTGTTAAAAGGTCAACAAACATAGTACGCTATTCAGATCTGAGAGTAAGGTTTTAATTTATTTTCAATGTTAATCAATTTTTCTATTAAGAAATTGCTAGTATGAATTACAATTTTACTATTAGATTTCTAAGCGGAGAAAAAATGAAATCGAAATAGATATATAAGCATTTGTTGATTTCAATTTTAAACTCAAAATGAAATAATCAATTTGATATAATCAAGTCTATATTATTTGATAAAAAGATTAATTTCAAATTAATTCTAAAATATCTCGTTCTCATTTTGATCTATTAAACTACATCAAGATTTTATCTTTCAAACTTCTCATTTTGCTTTTGATTTTATTCTTCAACAATTGTTTTTATGAGCAAGAATCTCATCGACATTACTTTTAGAGATACTTGTTTTCATGACAAAAAAATCTGACAACTGCACAAAGCTAGTGCTTTAGCTGATTCGTTATTACTTTTTACAGGAAAAAAACTAGACCTAAAAATTCATGAGAAAGGATTAATGAGTACACAACATATTTTCAAAATCTATCGAAATATTGATAATAAAATAACTGAATGATTAGAATCATTGATTGATGAACAGGTAATACTACTAGATTTCATTTTTCTTCACTTTTTCTTTCGATCACATCAAAAGGTCATTTTTAGCTGAATTTAATTAGGATTTTTCTTTTTTGAATAAAGAAAAATGAAGAATCATAATAACATAAAGAAACTTGATTTATTTAGGGTGAATCGATCGGTTCACTTGATTATAATAGTTTATCGAATAATCAAATAATTGAAACTGGTTCAGCTGAGCATCGTCGAGCATGGGAATCGGGTCACATTGAGTATTCGGGTCGAGATTCGTTTTCAAATATTCAACAACAAATCGAACGCAATTTATCTCATCTTCCACCAGAATATCATCCGTCACAAGAACGATTGAAAATATCGAAAAAACCAACAAGTATTCTTAAGAAGTCAACTAAAGAAATAAGTACAACAAATCTCAATGAAAATATTCAGTTTGTTTTAGTTTTTATTGTTTAAATTTTAAACGTTTAATTTAATTTATTTCTACAACATAGATCATTAGTTAGTTTAAATATTTCTAATGAAAAAAGGAGTAAAAAATCTGAACACGAATCTAATGAGACAGTGAAATCAACAATTGCTACTGCTTATACACAAGGTAAACAAATCTTTTTTTAAACAGTTGTATTTCTTCTAAAAGAACAAATATGATTTAGGTACAGGTGAATTCACTGGACCAACGGTAGTAAGTAAAATGATTAGTGAAAGTTTTGCTTCATCATCTGGTAATATTGCAAACATAAGATCGAACCAACAAAACACAAGTTAGATATAGTTTATTTTATATTATATTACTTATTGTTTCTTTTCTTTAATTGTAGACGATGAAGCAGCTATTCAAAGTGCGATATCATCCCCACCGACAATAATACATAATGAAAAAACTATGAAAAAATAAATTCGACAATCAATGTGCTTTCTAGTTCAATAGACATTAACGAACGAAAAGTATATTTCCAGTTTTTCTATTGATTTCTTTGAATACGTTATACTATATTTCTTGTTTAGATGTGATCTCGTTGATCAGAAGTTCTTCGTTGACTTCTTTTTTCCTTTATTTGACTTTTCAATAAGTTAGTTCAGTCATTCAATATTAGTCTTAGATGATCATACATAGCATATTTTTCCTTTTTTCCTGTCTTTTAATACAACTTTTACAAGTCATTTCAGTGAAATTATGTTAATAATATTTCATTAAACATTTCGTTTATTTTTTTTAATCAATAAGTATCAATCTTTAACAAATATCATTATCAATTTTTATCAAATTTTAATATTTTAATAAACAAAAAAGGACTAATATTATATTTATGTTTTAGTCGATGTGTAATCAATAAAACAAAAGTGTTTCAATACATTCTAAATCGATGTCTGCACAAAGAAGAAAGGAAATGAAAGGAATTTATTTTTATTTTCATACAAAACTAACAAGAGAAAACACGAAACAATAAATAAGAGTGTAGATGTACGGTATTGATGTGGTTCTGAATGTGAACGAAGAGACTACCACTTATACCTGTATCTACATCCTCAATAGCTATACTGAATTCGAAAAAATTTGAGTTTGCCCTATGCATAATTGCAACTGTTAGATAGTTATGTTTACCTAACTCTTTATTTCTTGAAAACCAACACCAACTAGACTCCTTTTTACAACTCCAACAACTCCTTTTCTTTTCTCCATATATATATTCTACCAATTAGTCAGTCTCATGACCAATAGAGATAACAGAAAGAAGATAGGTAGTGGTCAAAGATAGCGCCACTGCCTAACAGCAGCATTGATATTATAATGGACAAATAACTGATTAGCAACTAGTTAGATCTTACTGTGAGTCTTCGGATTTTATGAAATCCTTGGAGAAAAATATGAACTCATAAAAAATGTGAAACATTCATCTTTTCATATCTACTAAATGAGCTATTCGTTTTATGTTGAACTCACGTGTTTCTGTTATGCATTCAGTTTAATTGAATCAAATAAAATCATAAATCAGTATTCTGAGTAAATGGAAAGAACAAAGAATATGGAAGAAAACATGATCAATCTTTTCTGTTTCATGAAAACTTATTTATAATTTCCGAGTCATGGATTAAAGAGAAGAATTTTCAACCAGTCTTGTGCAGTTTTTCTTTCAACTGTCAATGCAAAAACAATTAGAGTAAAAATTACATGCAAATCTATTATAGTTTATCCAAGCGGATCCAAATCGACTGAAAGCTTTGTCAATGATCATCAAGAAAAAAAACTATTCAAATCGCATGATTCTAATGGATTGACGCGGGGGCGGCGGGGCTTATAGGGTCCCTCCAACCGACATTCTTCGGTCAAGCTTTTATTCAAGTGTCAAGCAAATGTGTTTTTCAAACCCCAGTAAATCAACAATAAAGAACTGATGAAAAGATATATGACTAAAAGTTCCAAAATTCAGTTTGCTTTGTTCGTTCTTGGATCACGAATTACCACAATTACAGAAGTATCCTGAAATTGCTTAGATTAAGAGCCAAACAACTTTCACATCAAAGCTAGTGCTCGTTTTTTCTCGGGCCCAAAATATATGAAAAGCTTATTCCATCAAACGAAATCCGATGCAAAAAAGGCGAGCTTTGAGACAGATACATAAAATCATACAAAACTCAACAAAATCTGTCGTAAAGTGAGAATGGTTTTTGGAACCTCTTCAAAACAAACAATTTCAACAAAAGTTTTTTCAATATCGCAGTTACCCATGTTGACAACGCCAAATCGAAAACGAAGCTCTTCGAAAAGAAATTAAGTTTTCAAAAAACAAAATTTAAGTGTTCTGGTAGATCTAGTATTAAGCAACGATTCATTTCAATGCAAGTAAGACTATCTTAATACAATTGTTAATATATGTTCGCAATTAGAATGTTTTTGTTCCATAACAAATAAAAAACGACCAACCCAATTTGTTTCTTGATGAGAAGTCACGTACCAAAAACGAGCGAATTTGTCTTATTCATGTTCCCTAACGCAGGACAGGATTGAACATTTTCTTCGTTCCTTCATTGGTTCTTATTTTTTGTACTTTTCATATTCTTATTGCACTCAGTTCTGAATATATTTAATTATAGTGATGAACCAACCCACGCCCATTTCTGCTGTCGAGTTTCAAATGTAATTAAAATAGCGTCTTCATCTCATTGTTCTCAAATTAGGCAATTGTTGTCGATGGTGTCAACTAGAAATATTTACAAATGAAATAACAAAATATTGATCTCAAAACAAGAACAACAATACAATAATACATTAAATGATATTTTGTTTGTCCATCAAACACAAACCACAAGTCTCTACAATCAATTTCCTCCAACTCATTTCATTTGTTATTTTTCAATCGACATACGTATGTCACTGATCATTGAAGAATTATATTGTTGTATTTTGTGTCAGTGTGGATCGATTATACGTGCATTTACCTAGAGATCTTGTAACAATTAGATAAATTTTTCGAAATTTTTTCTCGACTGTCTTTATCTGTCGGCGTATAATCTCAATAGTTATCAGCTAACAACTCTAATAAGCCAAATTGGTTTCAAACTCACATGCGAACATACACTTTTCAATGGTTGTATTTCTCATTGTTCACTTATTAACCTCAAAAGCACTGTTATCAACTTAGAAACACTACATATACTTCTTCATTATCTTGTTCGACTTCAATATCTTGGTAATTATCATTAAAAAAAGACATCTTAGTAGGCTGCCGAGTAATTAATTTTAATAGAATTATAATAAATCAGTATACTGTTTAATACTTAGAAAAGATTTTACAATTGATACGAAGACTTACGATCTATTCGAAGTTTTCAATTCATATGAACAAAAATTTGAATTTATAATCAGTAGTACATTCTGAATGAATACTACTTGTGAAAATATAAAGCTGCATATGTAGAATATACCATGATTGCTAACTTTCTTCTGTATTGAATTAATGTCATATCTGTGTAAGTCTAGTTTGTTTCTAGAAGTTAGAAGACGGTTAAGATTCTAATATATGAAATATGATATTTAAACAGATAATTGCAATAATTTATCAATTCTCTCTTTTTAAAATTATTTCATGAAAAATGAATAGCAATAGTTGAATATACAAGATAAATACTCTAGATTTTTCCGATAGAATAAAATTTTATATTTACATGTCGACATTTTTTTCTGTAACAAACGAGAAAATTTGCTTTGTGCAACTGAATTTACATTATTGTTAAATTTGATAACAATTCAATACTCTTCGATGAATTAATCAAGATTTAATTATTTATTTATAATTTAGATGATGTTTTATTTTTGGAAAGGAGTTTTTCAAGCTACAGAAAGATTTCTTGAAATGAATTGAATACAATCCTAGAACACAATACAAAACAGAGACGAAGTAGGCGCTAATGGTAATAAATAGACAAATACATGCTTTTCTTTCATGTATCATTATCAAAATACAGTGAAAAACGTACATTATGTTTTTGCTTTTGTGTTTCGCTTTATTGTGGTCAATTTATTTATGACAAAAAGTTTCTATCACTTTCAAGCTTTCTTTTAAAAAGACAAAAAAATTTTAGTTTAAATATAAATAATTTATTAAATATAGATAAATTGGTCTAAAAGTTATGAATTGTGTCAAATTTAGCAAGAACACTTTGCAAGATGGCGAAGTTAAATTTTTGACCAAATTGAATCTTTAAAAGAACATCTATTGGGGACAAAATAGAGGTACAGATGCTTCTTGAAAGCTAGATGGCACCCTTAAAGTAGCTCTAATGTCCTATAAGAGTGAGTATACCAGGTGATAAGAGTAGGCAAGAATGCGCATCCTTTGAGAGCGAAGACGCGCGGTGAGGAGAGTACAACTTGTTGGTGACAGTAAAAGCTGAGAAGGATATAGCATCCCCTGATGAAACTACACAGCGGCGTATCCATGCTACACTTTTGTATGTGTATACCGCTATTATTCTAGAGAGTAGCTTAGCGATACAGTGACATAAGGATTTCCAGTTGACCACAAATTAAAATTCTCTGTGAACTCTTCAAATTCTTATTATTTCCCAGATGTTTTTCACTGATCAATAATCACAGCCAATTAAATTGAATTCTTCTCTGAATATATCGAATTTCGGTCAATATTTTGATGTCATTTTTATCAAATGATCATACAAAATAGTGATGAATAGAAAATCTAATTAACTGTGTACTAGAACATTTATTAGTTCTTTTGATATTTACCTATTCAAATAGATATCGACTAGAATTTTCATAAGCAAAAAAAAGCATATTTTTCATATTAAACTATCACTATTCCATTTATATGAGATGAGAGCATTATATGTTAAATCATCAACATATTTTGCATATGAATATCGACTGTCACAAATAAATTATACAATGAGAAATAGATAAAAACAATGATAAATGAAATTAAACAAAAGCAAATGTAATTTCTATTCTACTTAGCGTTGGATTTTATTATCTTAAATAAAAATGTAAATAATTGGTCAATTAAAAATTTAATCAAGATTTTTTTATATTCTACATAAAGATTCATTTTTATTTTATGATTGTTAAGATCATTTTATTTCAAAGGATATTGACGAAAGAAATCTATTTTTTGTTTTTCTTAAATGAAATACATTAAAATTTTCAATAAAATGCTTAAAATCTAACTAATGATCAATGTTTTTTTAATTGAAGAAGAATTTCACAATATTTTCCAGTAAAATAATTATTACAAAGACAACGGCTCTGTGCTGCAAGACATGTTCCATTATTTTGACAAATATTATTTGTTTCATCACAAAATGAACTTTTCAATTCACATTTAAGTCCACCAAAACTTTTTTCACATTGACATTGTCGTGTCATTGGGTCACATGTTCCAC